AATATCAATGCAATAAACTATTTTCAATTTCGCCAGTGTATGGGCTGATCTGACTGTACCAAATCTGAAGAATAGGCGGAATAAAATATGGCCCGAAATAACACCGTTCGAATCTGAAGAATCTGATACTATTAGTGTAGAAGAAATTTGCAACTTTGTAATGGACTGAATAGTGAAATATTATYAACGAAAGAAGTAACGGATTGTTTAGAAAGTGATAAACAAGATATGGAGGATTTTAAATTTTAAATGACGATCAAATTATTTTTAATGTCACTGCCGTTGACGAAGAAGTTGATGACGATGTCGAAGATTCAGTGCTTGACTTAAAACTATCAACTAGCCACGCTGAAGTAGAAGCAATGTTATCAAAATACATTGACCGGTTAAGGTACAAGAGGAGGCAAATGCAACATAGGTCTTACTTCTTCGTAAAATACGAAATATATGGCCACTCAAAAAGTTCGTACAGTCATGCCTTAAAAAAAAACAGAAGATGACGAATTATTTTGTTTAATATTTTTTAGAATGGTTTTCTTTATGTTAATACATAATATATATTATTAGTATTTATTATTATTATATTTATTATTTTTGTCAAAAAATTACGTAGTAAAATATAWACGTTTATTGAWAAATTGTTTTGTATTATTATATTTCTGTTATTAACCATCTATTCGATTAACCGTAATTGTCCCGGGACCGATATTGACGGTTAATCGAGTTTCTACTGTAGTAGCGTCTGGTTAATTTTGATATCAGTGAATTGACCAACTATCAAATTTTTAGGTAAGAAAATTATCTGCGCTTATGCCCTGGATTTAATTTGATATTTTAATTTTCAAGCGAGTCTGGAGTCATGACCATTTTTAGTTAACTTTTTTTTATCTATAATACTAATCCACAAATAATATTTTACCCAAAAGTTTAATCATAGGTCAATAACCTCTAATATCAAAATGTACACCACACTATTGAAACAACTAATACTGTACTATAACTTACTTTATATTTTTTTACCAATAAATAGGTAAATATTTTAACTATTTAATTTGTAATTAAAAAATGTTAAATATTTTTAATTACAAAATAAAAAAACAAAATCGATGTTTATTGAAAACTGGGTTGCGTGGGTAAACGCAACATTAAACTATTCCCATATTCACACCGTATCTTATCAATATTTCCCAATTATTAAGACATTAAAATGTTTTATCGAGAATTAGATATAAGAACATTTTGTTTTGAGAAACTATTCTCAATATCAAAGATTRAAAACTTTTTACTACACAAAAATATCGCCCTAAAATCACTGTAAAAACAATATACTTGGTGATATTTTCCCCACTGCACAGAATCTAAACTGTKGTATAATAATTTCTTACATTAAAAAAATGTAAATAAAATCATGCTAATTTTTGAGTTGGTGTGATTTTAGTCTAGTAGTAATTAAATATTACATAATCGATTAAAAAAATTATTAAGAAATTATTAAAACATATCGTCAATATAACGAAGATTAAACCGTCATACTTCATTCATATCGACAAAAATAACAACTAGTAATTAATTTAAGTCGTTAAAGTTTYTATAGCCCCTTATTCTTTTCAACTACTTCATCAGTAACAAGAAAATATTTATAATATATTTAGCAAAAATTTACGTTGTTTATCAATATGGTTGACATTAATTTTATTTATGAAATATTAATACGATCGATAGATGCTGTATGATTGTCGACAGAAGATAAAAGCTTAAACGGATAAAACCTTAACGTATCTTCTAATACCCAAAATTAGTATATAATTTATAATTTATTGACAAAAATATAAAATAGATATTTTAAAGTAAAGAATACAATRAGTATTTACCAATAGCTACAACACAATACACCATAAGTCATTGTATTATTTTTAGAGTTCGAGGTTAATTCAATTATAAAATYCTTTAACGTAAATAGGTAAATAATAATAATATAATTACTTCTTTGTTAAAGAAATTAGAAGGATATAATAATAGAAAGAATATAATAATATGGGGGTATGTAATTTGCACCATTATAGGTTGTTGAAAATAGTGTTAGTAATTTGAGATAACATGAGAATCTATTAGTAATGGACACTATCGATAGTTAAAGTTCTATAACARTATAGTAGTACTATATACTATACTATTATTATAGTATACTACTTGTATACTAGTATTTTAAAATACTTAAAAGATAAAAGATAAAGTGCAATCCAATTTGGYAATCAATGTAATACCAATTTGTTTTATTTATTTAAATTAATAATTACATATTTATAGTTTAATAATATAATATTACAATAATATATTAAAGAACGCTCTGTTATCTTTATAGTTAGCATAATATTACGGCTGTCAAAAATTTTAAATTATAAATATAAATAATGAAAAATGACCAMTTGGATTTCGAAAAATGCATGAAAGACTATATAACTAGAAATTATATCAGAGATTATGAGATTTATTAAGATTATTTAAAAAGATTCAATCGAATCCCGAAAAAATCACTTAAATTATTAAAATGATAATATAAAACAAGTTTGACTTATAATAATTTATAAGATATGATTGTTATCAACTTGTTATATTGCCGATTACTTCGTTATTAGACACGGAACAAAAATAGTTAAGGTCACCCAGTAACCAGTAAGTTAGTCAAACATAATACTCAAAACATATAATTTATTTTTAAATGGAATTAAATAACTATCTTTAAAGTTAGCTTCCTTAATTTTAGATTCTATAGTACTTATTTTATAATAAGGAAATATTTTTTTTTGATTTTATAGAACTATTGAAAAACAGTTACTAAAGTTAAACCATATTGGTAAATTAAAATAAAATAAGTTTTGTGTTAACATAATAGCATAATATAACATTAGGACTCTTTATTTAATTTAATATGGCCATTTTATCAATAGTTTATTTCATAATGTTATATAATTCATAAGAGTCATAAGACTGTACATTTTTCGATATCAATTTTCGGAGAATTTTAGAAGACGTAACAATGGCATTTGTTGTCTCCGTTTTACAAATGCATAATATAAAAATATTACGCTCAGCAGATCACTTTTAGGCTTTACCTACATTAGTTTAAAAATTAGATTGAATAAACCTATTACGAAATATTAATATTAAGAATATTATCTGTGTTTGTATAAGATTTTTTTACGATAGTTCAATTTTGTCGCAAGTTATGCGTATATAAAAAAGCGTAAATTAAAAATGCTCATAACTCACTTAAAAATTAAGTTATCGTAAAAACACACACATAAACAATGTTTGTTAAACACAGATAAAGATCTTACCATCAAGTATCATAATTGGTCAATTTCCTCAAATTTTTAAAATAACGGAGTTAAACGTGATCTACTAAGCATAAATTTGATAATATATTAATATGTTACGCACTTGTGAGACGGAGACAACAAATGTATGTAGAGTCCTCTTAAGTAAATTATTTTTCAAACATTTTTAAGCTAMGTTTATGCAATATTATACATATAATATGTATTTGAATAAAAAAGACAATAATCTAWATTGTTCTTATACTACRATCTACAGTCATAAACACGCAATAACATTTTTAAACATCATTAAATAGTTTTGCAAAATAAATCACTGAAATTCGTAGTAAATTATTTTGGTAGTAACCGGAGTAGTAACTAAGAACGTAAAATGAAACATATTAACTTACATTTATTATATTATATTATTTATAATGCATGATACTCAGTACCTATTGTGTTTATATAATGTTTTGTATAATACAGTTAATATTATAATGTAATAATTATATTATACCTACTATTAACAAAATATTGTTAAAAAAGAAAMAAATACAAATAATTTATTTTGGACTGTCAATACTGCACATAAATAATCAACTAAAGCTGAATAATGTATAAATATATGAGAATCCAAATTATTTAAATATTTTTAAGGATAACATCTTACATCTTTATATTATCGCTTAAAAAAAAATTATGTTTACCTTGAAAAATTAAATTATTTTATACTGAGGCAGGTAGATCAATTTAATTGATTTAGTTAAATACTCCTTATTTTAGTAAATACTRAGGTTAATAAAAATAATAACTAATTTTAACTAAATGAAAGTTAGTAATGTTACATAAAATAAACTAATTGATATTCTAAATTTCTACTATCACTCATGAATTAAAATTCTAATTGCTGTATTTCTATAAAACTTATACATGTGTCATATTTCCCAAGGAGCCAAAGTATGAAGATAATATTATGTATATTTGAATAGTTTTTATTCTTCAATAAAATACAATTTTATCTTAATAGGGATTTCAATAATCATTAAGCTGTTTTTAAACTAAAATAATTGAATAATTAAAATGTATTAATGATTATAAATAATATAGTATAAAAATATAATATTTAAGCTATAGTTTATATAAAATATTTATTTATTTAATTATCAAAATAAATTGGATTATTTGTTAAGGAAAATAGGTTACAATTAAATAATTAATGGTTTATCTAGGTAATTACTACTTCACATTAATGTAAAGTAAAGAATAAGGATGTATGCATGCTATATGAAATAAGAACTAACAACATATATCATGTATATTGTATAATACGCGTAGGGATAAAACATAATTTAATAATTTAGGTATAATTTATTGTTTTAATTTTAAATTTTAAAAATATTCTACTATCTATGACTATATAATTTATATTTTTCTTCAATAARCTCGAGAAATAACATCTAAAAATTTGAATCATAATTGATTTTATATAAAAAATATAAACAGTTCAAAGTCAATTTACTAACTTAATATTTATTATTTTATGATTATATTTATTAATTAAATATGTGTCTTGTGCGTTAACTTTTACTTACCAAAAAGCAAAGAGGATCTTGAAGCATAAATGCCAACACATTAAGCATTTGTTCATAATATACATCCATCGGATCGGTTTTTGTTGGATCTTCATTAACTTGAATATTAGAATTTGATTCATGTGATGCATCAAGGCTGTACTTAACTGAATAATAGGTAGCTGCTGAAATGGATAAGACAGTAGCCGAAATATATGTAGATAGTTTAGGAACAGGTAGTCGGTCAACCATCATGAATGACATGCTCTTTTTAACTTGTATAATTCACAAAATATGTGTATTTATTTTTATGGTAAACGCACTTATTAACTGAGATTAGTTCAGGCCATAATTTAAAAATTAAATTATTTTTCAATAACCAAAATGTAATTTAACAGTTTTACTAGAGTTAAGAATTACATCATACGCATACTAACATACGTAAACACTAAAATATCTTATGTTCAAAACAATTTATAGATAAATTTTAGCACAACAAATCATAACTCGCAAGAACGATAACATAGAAAACGAACACGCAGGATGAGAATATAAAACTGGCTGATAAAACAACACTACAGTAGTGAGAAGTCAGTTGCACATAGTCAGTACTCACTGCAGCTTAATTGTAGAACGGTATCATGATAATAAAATTTGATTTCATCTGTGACGTCATAACGTCGTGTCTGATTTATTTAAAGCTAGTAGCTCCCTCTATGAATTGTTTTAGACATCCAACTCAAGGAGGAATAAATTATCTGTGTAGACTGTAGATGCTTTTTGTGGCTTGGT